TAAAGTTAATTATTTTTTAAAAATCGTATTTGAATCAGCTGAGCGTACCTTGGCCTGGTCTTTACTAAACGGGAGGGTGAAGTCTCCATGTAGCAGTCCGTTCTTCTCCATGAAAACCACACTGTGTTTGTTGGGATGACGCTGAGTGCTCGCTATCAGGCTGCCTGAGGGTCTGAAAACCAGGACAAGATTGAACATAAGTTCCAACAGTCCAAAGAGGTAATTTCACATCAGCACCCAGGCAACTCCTAATGCTGCATTTGTTCTTTTTAAATGTTAAGTATTATTTATCCTGGACAGACACCAGAGTCTTTCACACATCTAACACTTCTCCACATGGAAAAGAGCAACACCTAAACTTGACTAAATTCATTTAATGAACCAAACAAACATAGCTTTGGCAGCGTTCTTACTTCCAGCAGAGCGCCTGCTCCAGGCCGTTGATGGGCTCGCTTGTGGCCTGCAGGACGCCCTCTCTGTTCCAGACTCGGACTTCCTGGCTCCGGTCTGAAGACATATGGCACTGACGGCAAACAGCTGACCATCACCTCGCCATGTCACCCGCGGCCTGCGGTCATCCCAGGCTGCAGCCGGCTGCACCTCCTGTGGGTGCACATTAACACCATTCAGAATATTTTCATATTAGGCAAATTGTTTCTTTCATTTTAGATACATTATATTATCCCATTGGTTCATTTTGAAGCCATGATGTTTCTTCTAGTTGAACACTGACCTGGATCTTTCTTTGCGCTGCCTGTTTTCCCTCTGAGCCATGGAACTGAGTTTCCTTCTTCCCCCAACCCACTGTGATGAACTTACCTGCAAAACATTAAATTAATCATTACATTTTTTTTCTAAATTCCATGAATTATCTCAAATTACCACTAATCTAAACAGAGTCCATTTGGAGTCACCGTACCTTCACCAAAGTCATCCTGGTGGATTCCGATTTCAGTAATCGGCTCAAACTCTTTGGTCATCATGATGATCGTTTCCTGACCTGTCGGCACAAATAATTACTGTTAATGTGCGTTAATGCTAAATGTCTTTAACTGATAATTATCTAACTAACTAAGCGCTGAATAAGGTTATACAGTGGCTCTTGACCATACTGTGACCGTTATAGAGACAAATAAATTGAGAAGAATATACTTGTATCTTAATATCTTTGATGCTTTGTTTTGTGTGTAGTGATGCAGAGATCATCCTATAATTCATTTAGGAGACCGACATCCCACTGGGGTTTCTCTGACTGACGATTCAAAGCATTTAACTTCTGTTGGAAGATTTAAAAGATTTAAAAACAGTGAATTCACATTTTACATACTGACCCGTAGTGAGAATGACGAGCTCTTCATCTGGACTCCAACTCATCGAGGTCAGGCCGCTGTCCACACTGCCAACACACTCTAACTGTGGAACAATCACACATATTTTGTGAGAACCCTCACCGACATAAAGCATTCCCTTGCCCCTTATACTCCCCTTAACTTAAAACTAACTCTAACCACAACCCTGAAGCCAACTCTTTGAAGAACCTTTCCAGTCGCTAACCTGGCAGGTATTGAGGTTGAAGAGGACGACATCGCCACCAGCTGTGGCCAAACATGCTGACTCGAGTTCAGCCAGGTCCTGCAGGCCAACCACCTTTCCGCTGCCATCCTCTGGGAGGAATCCCTCAGCTGTCAATGACGCCTCACTGACCACCTGCAGGACAGAATGGAGGAGAGTTGAAGATGAGTGAACCAGCTTTCACCTCCACCTCCATTGAAATGGTGAACCTTTCCGTTATTACTTGTTTGAAATTCCAATTTGGAAGCATCTCTAAACCCATTACTATCTTAAACAAGACAAAGCTTTAAAGAGTAAACAGAACTCGTGTGCCTGCAAAGTCACGAGCATCGAAAACTCAGCAAAATATCTGCTCTCATCACAAATATAGGACGTCATCACCAGCTCACCTGGCCAGTTCGTGGGTCATACTCTGTGATGGAGTAGTGCGAAGCGACCAGCAGTGAGCCGGTGTCAGCCCGCACAGAGAAACACTGAGGGGAGCCTGGACCATGCAGCTCTGAGCTGCGTAGACTCTTCAGCAGCTTCAAGTTCCGCATTTTACCTCAGGACAGACTGAAAACACACGAGCCCGAGTCTGAACCCAAAGGCTGCAAAATCACCTGAAACAACAAAAATTAAACATGTTCAGTACTGAAACCACTGATCTATATATCAGTACAATGTCATTCCCTAGATAAAAACACCTGAAATCTTTCTGGGATGGTTTCCATGTTGTCCTTTCTTGGAATAACAGTTTAGTGTTTAGCTGTCTGAAATGACCAGTGAATGCCTCTACCTGCTTCACCAATCACATCTATAAAAAAGGTTGCCTTTCAGTTTGTCCTTGAAATGTATGAAATATCTTCTATAAGCGCCAAGTCAAATATAATATCATTAGCAATAAACAGATTATATTTAGTCAACAATCTATAACACGACACTGGTCTTTGGCACAGCCCTGTTAATATAAAGTTAATAGTCAGGCTTAATGTCTCACCTGCACAGCCTGTATTTGGCTGCTGCTGTCTGAAAGAAATTAATCAACCATTAATCGTTTCAGTAATTTAAGTAAACAAGCACTTGTTGACTTCAGATTGATAAATGCAAAAGATATTCGGCTTCCCTGTTTCATGTATTTGTAATTTCAATGTTACGAGAAATGAAAATGAGACTGTATGTTTTCTCTCGGGGGTTGCTCTCATAGCCACTACGTTAATTATCGGACACAGCAATGTCCAACACTTTCCCATTTTGTCCCAAAATTTGGATGACAGGGCTCCAATTTAACTAGTAAATGTATTAAAATGGATTCACCATCATATTTTGAACTGACACTATTCATAGTCAATTAGTAAGTTATTTTCTTAAATCTTTACTGTTGTTTCTTCATGTGCCTTTTCTCAGTGCTCATTACAAGGCATGGGTACATAAATCTGCCGAAGTTAGATAGGTAACATAAACCAACAATAACGGTGTAGTTTTAAAAGTACTCTGACAATTTAATTAACTAGTTTGTTAGCAGTTTAAAGAACCAAACTCAAGAAGGAAAGTTGCAGGATGTCCGAAAATGGAACTGTACGTGCTAGCTTACCTTTAAACTAGAAGGTACGACATGATGTTTAGCTGCAATAATTCAATGAACTAAAAAGAAAACGAAAGCTTGGGAACTTAAATAAATCGCAGTTCCACCTTAAAACTCACCGAGGAGAAACAGCGTGAAGTTATAACCTTTTAAATATCCAGCATCAACAACACAACATCATGCATGTGGCGCTGTCACACTCATAACCTTTCACCTCTGACGCAGTTACGTGAGGTAACGGCAGTGTCGCCCCCTGGCGCCGTGGAGTGAACATCTAAATCTTAATTTGATCTACTTTATCTGTTTAATTTGGCTGTTTCCAGTGCTGGAAGAAGTATTCAGACATTTTACTTACAGTGTTTTCTGTCGATATGGTACTATTCACACAAGCAGCCTATAATATTTCACCACAAAAAAACACAACAGATGATCAAAAAAGACCTGATTGAACATCTCTGAAACTGGCTGTACACCGCTGCTCCCCATCCTGATGGCGCTTGAGAGGTCCTGCAAAGAAGAATGGGTGAAACTGCCCAAAATAGGTGTGCCAGGCTTCGAGCATGATACTCAAAAAGACTTGAAGCTGTTAATGTGCCGAAGGTGCTTCAACAAAGTATTGACCAAAGGCTGTACATACTTACTGTCTGTACATGTGCTTTTTTCGTTTTTTATTGTTAATAAATTTGCAAATATTTCAAACAAACTTCTTTCATATTGTCATTATTGACTTTAATTAATTTTATTTATCACTTTTAAAGCTCTTCATGGCCTCTCGCCTTGTTATATTTCTGACTTTTAGTCCCATACGCACCAGCACGTACCTTGAGATCCTCGGGCAGAGGTCTGTTGTCTGTTCCAGAGTCTCGACTGAAAACTAAAGGGGACAGAGCGTTTGCTGTCAGGGCCCCGAGGCTCTGGAACAGCCTGCCCAGGAAATCAGGTCGGCTGAGTCAGTGAAGTCCCTTCTTAAAACATACTTTTATAGGAGAGCCTTTCCCGATCTTATTTGACTTTATATTTTTATATTATTCTATTTACTTATTTTATTTATCTTAAACGTGTATTTTAGTCTTTTCAATGTTTTCTTGCTTTTATCTTGTATTGTTTTTATATTATTGTCTTTTGGGTATTATTGTCTTTACACTTGTTAAAGCACTTTGTAACTTGTTTTTGAAAATAAATAAAGATTATTATTATTATTATTATTATTATTATTATTATGGAGGTATTGTTTGTAGAATTGTGAGGAAAATAATGAATTTCATCCATTTTGGAAAAAGGCTGTAACATAACAAAATGTGGAAAAAGTAAAGTGCTGTGAATACTTTCTGGATGTGCTGAAGCTTACTCTTGGATTGTTTAATCTACAGCAATGCATCACATTCTACAAAGTCTAACATGTTGAGAGAGGTGTTGCCCTGTGAGAATCATGCAGCCTACCTCTATAAAGTCTTTAGATGAGGTTAGAAAATCTGAGTTTTCTCAACTCATAAAGAAACACTTTTAAATTCGCATTCACTATATACATGGTTTTCACTGGAAAAATACGAAAAATTGTTATCTGAAAAGAAATTAGTAACTAAAGCTGTCGTATATTAGTTCCCTCAGAGATGTAGAAGTATAATGTTGCATTAAATAAATATATAAATAAAGTTCAAAAAGTACCTTAAATTGGTACTGATAAGTACAGCATTTGAGTAAATGTAGTTAGTTAGTTAATTACATTCCACCTCTGCAGGTGAGGCGTTATTGTTACATTTATAAACAGTGTTTTTGTTGTTCGGCATTTACTCTGAAAAACACACGGATATTGCCGCTTTCATTCGGCTTTATTTTGTAGTAGTGACCGGACGTCGTGTTCGTTTGTTCTTGTCGCGAACTTGACCGGCTGCTGACTGACAACAGGTGAACGGGAGTTCAGCGGCAGAAACGCAGAGCTCAGGACACCAGAGCGGGATTAAATGCGCGATGAGAAGACGGTAGCAGAAAGGTAAACGTTTCATCACATTTCTTTGTCATTCTCTGATGTGTTTATTTAAAACAAGGCAGCAGACAGCCCGAATTATTCCCCTACCTAAACCAAACACGGCTTTCCATCCTGCTCTACGGCGGTTTGTTTACGATGTTCTGTTGGTTTAAAATCCTCCGTCGGGCATGTCTAACGTTAATTTACCAAGTGATGAATTGCAGGTAAAAGCGTGAGTAGGACACATCTTGAAATTATATAAAAATAGATTTATCGTGTTGATTGGTTTCGCCCCCGTCTCCTCGTCTTCCTAAGGAAATCAAAACAGGTAGACTGCTGGTGTCACTGCTGGCTAACATAACCCCCAAAAGACAACAGATGAAGTCTAAATTAAACCAGGAACTGCAAGCTTCAGGCAGACTTCAGATTTTATTTATTTTTTTTTTTTGGGGGGGGGCACCTTTCATTTACACAAGGGGTTACTTGAGAGTAGCCTAAAAATGAAATTCCTCTAATATGTCCACCTGTTGCACATCGAGCTATGGTTGTTAGGAATATGTGCACATATTTCTCACATACATTGAGTAGTATGTGTGTAATCACAGTCACAGAAAGACAAGAGAGCACAAACTATGGGAGAAGGATGCTGCTATAATAATCCATCTTAGAAGTAACAAATGCATGCAATGCCATCTAGAGTAACTATACACTCACCTAAAGGATTATTAGGAACACCATACTAATACTGTGTTTGACCCCCTTTCAACTTCAGAACTGCCTTAATTCAACAAGGTGCTGAAAGCATTCTTTAGAAATGTTGGCCCATATTGATGGATAGCATCTTGCAGTTGATGGAGATTTGTGGGATGCACATCCAGGGCACGAAGCTCCCGTTCCACCGCATCCCAAAGATGCTCTATTGGGTTGAGATCTGGTGACTGTGGGGGCCATTTTAGTACAGTGAACTCATTGAACTCATGTTCAAGAAACCAATTTGAAATGATTCGAGCTTTGTGACATGGTGCATTATCCTGCTGGAAGTAGCCATCAGAGGATGGGTACATGGTGGCCATAAAGGGATGGACATGGTCAGAAACAATGCTCAGGTAGGCCGTGGCATTTAAACGATGCCCAATTGGCACTAAGGGGCCTAAAGTGTGCCAAGAAACATCCCCCACACCATTACACCACCACCACCAGCCTGCACAGTGGTAACAAGGCATGATGGATCCATGTTCTCATTCTGTTTACGCGTGTGTGATTGGTTGATTAGATAATTGCATTAATGAGAAATTGAACAGGTGTTCCTAATAATCCTTTAGGTGAGTGTAAATTTACTTAATGCATCTTGGATGTGTTTTGGGCCAAGTAACTTCACTTCAGTTTCAGAGTTTATGTCACGTGAAGCTACTAAATGGATGTAAAGCTGTCCATTGACTCAGATTTTCTTGTCTGATTTAAGGCAAATGGGACAGACAGGAAGGGAAACTGTAAAGCCTTTTGAGAGATAGGGCGGTTGCCCAGGCCAGACAAAGTCAGACTGAGAGATAAACACATCATGCGCTCATGTGAAAAATGTTTAGTCTGTCTGAATTTGTTTATTTCAGTTCTCTAGTGATTAGGAAGCCAATGATGTTTCCTTCTTCTGCTGCTGCTTCTGTTGTCCTGAGTGGAAATGTACTGAGAGAAGAAACCTAACGCATATAAATAATACTATTTATGATCAATTTATCATTTTCATTCTGGGGCATCATCCAGGTGGATGTAGTCATACTCACGGGTTATCAATTAGGATACTAAAGAAAGAGTCCCCTGTGGAAGAATATGTTTTCCCTTTCAGTTTTTAGACAATTTGGAGTCACATGAGTTACATTGACTTTTTATTAACTCAGCTCTTGTATGATGATGATGATATCGAATATATTTGTTCACTGAATTTTCTTATCCCCCCGCTGCCAATATCTCTTCCCCAGTGTAATTAAGTAAGTTACCAATTCTATTCAAGCAGCTTGTGTCCATGAAGTACAGTACAGTGTGAAAACTAAACAAGCCAAGTAAGACAATGTAAACTGAGCCACTGTAGTTGAGACAAAATAACACAAAGTAAAGCTGTGATTTCACCCTTAATCTGCTGTCACTCGCAGTCATCCTAAAATAATTCTTCACTCATTGTGGTAGTGAGGGTGTGTCATATGATGCGATCATCACTGCATTAGTTTCAGCCTTGTCATCTTTCCTCTGCTGTTTGTATCTTTAATGGGTTATTAACAGAACTTCCTGTTCAGCAAACGATAACGCTGGTTCTGATGCGGGGATTGAAGTGTTCTGATCTCTGGCAGCTGCATCACATGTATAGGGGTTTCGCACATGTCTGTGTCTTTCAGTACACAACCAAAGTCAAGCTAAATGTTTTTATGTGAAGACTTAAGTGTACAGTAGCCAGAAACTTCACCAACCCTGCAATTACAGTTAACACAGTTCTACTTTTAGCCTTCTTACTAAGTTATCATATGACCTTTCTTCTCAAGTCATGATGTCATGCTAATTCATAAACTCTCCCCGTCCAAGAAGGGTTTTGACGCTGCATGCGTTAAGCAAGGTTAAAGAAATTTGTTAGAAAGTTAAGATTGCGGGCCAAGAAATGAGCGAGTAGTTTCTAGTTGCATATTTCTTGGGAATTTTATGCCTTTATTGATACTTAATAGTAGACAGATGACCCAGGAAATTAGAAAGAGAGCGCAATGGACAACGACATGCAACAGGGTCCCTGGTCGCATGTGAACCTGGTGTGTTGCTCTATGTTTGGTTACTTTAACACTATGCCACCAGGGCAAACCAGGGTGAATCCAGGAGTGTTTAAAAGGATTTATTTATTTTATCAGATAGGGCGTTTTAGCAGAATGCAGAAAATAATACAGATAGGAAATTAAAACATTACCTGTTGTCTAATATAACCCGCCTGATACTAGATTTTTGAGGCAGATAAACCATCCGATAGTAATTTTATATTTGATATACTTAACATTACAGCAAATTGTAATACGGATCCCTTACATTTGCTTTTGTATTTTCATACATTGTGACTTATACACACCGAACCTACAGGTTGAAAACTTGCCAGTGCTCTCTGACGGACTAACTATGTTTCTAAATAACCTCAACCTAGTTTATATTTCTGTACTGTAACTTCTTGTTATTTATCGGCTGATTATATTCTCTTATAGGATATCGGCTGATATATCTGCCTGGCCGCTTTATTGGTCTGCCTCTGTTGTCAATTACAAGAAGCATAGGTTTCATCACTTTGCATACCCTCAGCAGAGGTATGCTTTCTGGTAATGGAACATTTTTATGCTTGGAAAGGCAGGTTGTGTCTCTCAGGTCACTGTGGGGAGTTAGATAAATACCCGAAGTGTATTGTCACTTTGCAGAAGACCTGTTCTTCTGCAAACAACCTTAAGTTGTCGTCACATCAACATAAGTCAGCTGATAAAAGAATGCCGTCCTGCAGCATTCCTCCCTGACATGCCGGTCTAATGAACCAGTTCTCCTGCCTCCCTCATTCCAGACTCATTGAGTCTGACTGCTATGAATTCCTTCATTGTCTCAGGGTTCATGCTAACATCTGTGGCTCAGGAGATAGAGTGGGTTGCCCGTTAATCAGAAGGTCGGCGGTTCAATCCCCGACTTAGGCTCAGTGAATGAATGTTTGTGAATGGTGAATGCAGATGTAGTGTAAAGGTGCTTTGAGTGGTCGAAAAGACTAGAAAGGCGCTATACAAATATGGTTCTGGTTATCCGGGGTCGATTTGGAAATGGCTAAGCAGGGTATCCCAGCAATGTTTTCCTGCTCCTCCTGGATGATCCCAAAGCTTTCCCAGGCCAGATGAGATATGTAATCCATCCAGTGAGTTCTGGGTCTCCCCTGGGGTCTCCTCCCAGTTGGACATGCCCGCAAAACCTCCAAAGGGAGGCACCCAGGAGGCATCCTAATCAGATGCCCGAACCACAATCCGCCTTCATGTTGGCATCTTATTCTTATTATTTTCAGGGCTTATTGGCACATGCTATAAGATGACCTTTGAGTCTGTGTATTTGGTTTACTATTGGTGAAATAGTGAACAATTGTTCTACATTGATTTTAAGTTTTTCAATGTTTTATTGTCAATTATTTATTTATAGCAATAAAATGCTCCATTACCAGAAAGCACTCAGCAAACCTCTGCCAAGGCTACACAAAATGCTTCTTGACCTCTGAAGTACTTGTAGTTATCTTATATCTTATCTTTATCTTATGTTTTCAATTTACTAACCCATCTAAGGTGAGGAAACATTTGTGCAGGAAAATAATAAAATACTTCTTCTTTTTCTAATAACACATCTAAAGTCAAACAAAAATAACAGATGTAAAAATGAAAGACATTCGTATTGTATCCTTCCTGCTCTGTCAGTATTAAATCTCCACCCTGTTAGTTTCTGGATTTGCAGGAACATTGCCTGTCTGCCCTCTATAAAACAACAACTTTTCTGTGTTGAAGGAAGGTCTATTGTGAGAGATGACGCATTGATGAAACCAATAAATCTGAATGAAGCAGTAACTGCAACCCCACTACCTCTTGAAAGTTAAACACTTGTTTGAAGGTGTTTTCCAGTTTGCCATTGGGTAACTGTGGATATACAACACAACCCTACAGTGATATTACATGATATGGTTCTCTTATATGCTTACTTATTACTTATGATTGCTCATATGATACTCAATATTGTGTGACATGCTTATCTTAGGTAACTCAGCAGTTAAGACAGTTAGAAGCTTGTGCTGAATGACCGGGCCCGGACAATAATACACTCTGACACACTTCATACTTTTCTTAATAAAGTCACACACACACACACACACACACTCACATGACAGCCCTTAAGGCACACTAGAAATATTCTACACCTATTGACAACTTCCATATAAGGTAACATGGGATGTGCAGCTGGGTGATGTCTCATCAACATATACACAGCTTAGCGGAAGATTAGTCAGACCTTGACTTAGGTAGCGTGCAGGAAGGGTCTCCAGATATATCTGTCTCAATAAAGGTGTGGTTTGAATCTGATCTCTCGTCTCCTCTAAGTCCTTTTCCATCAACCAGCTCGGGGAAGTCGTTGCACTTCAACATAACACAAGGACTTTTTCTCCAAGTGTTACTAAACAGAGTTACATGTCCTTAAAGTAAATGGACTGTACTTGTATACCGCCTTTTTACCTCCATTCACACACACTCACACACGGACGGCACATCCACATTTACAGTATCTTTCCCAAGAACACCAGCACGCATACTGGATGAGCACTAAGCACATCCTCAGACAGCCGATAACGTATCTGTATCTGCATTTTTTTTAGCCCAATTTAAATTATATACTCTTCAGTTACATTGTGAGAGTTGTCTCTTATTAACTCCAGAAAAAACTATTTTTTTTCTCACCGCTACCTATTTAGGGGAATTTTTGAGTGAACTCACCCTTTAATATTTGATGACAGTTAATGTTACGCTCTCAAAATACACAGTCGTTTAAACTTTCATTTGAATTCGTCTGTGCAAAATAGTTGCTGCTTAGTGGGCATGCACTTTCTTTAATAATTTGTTTAAATGTTTGAAATAAATTACAGCCCGCATAAATCTTTTATTTCCGACTCAGAAAATCCAACAGAGTGAGCCGTAAATCTCTTTTTGTTACCCTCCACCAGAAAATCCTGACAGTCCTTTTGCAATTGGAAGAGGATGGGACGTCCTACGGTGCTTTTGTTTCCTGTGAGAGGAAAACTTCAATCACGTCAATGCCCCGTCATCATTGGTCCGCTTAATGTTTCATGAAACCTCCCTAGGTGTTGTCTGATTGGTTCTTCATTGTACTGTGACGACTTGACAGCCAATCCGCATCTGTCTGGGTGAGTGCCACTTCCTCTTCCCACCAGCTGCTGCAGTCAATCAGCTTATTCAGCAGATTGTGTGTGTGTGGGGGGGGGGCAAGTTTCCCCCCACCCACCCCCCACCCACCTTCTTTTTCCTCTACAAAACAGCCAGCCCACCGTCCTTTCCACTCCCATCCCCCTTTCCTCACACACACACACACACACTTGTGAATAAACACTCACACACTCCTGCCACAAGAGTCCCAGCAGCCGCCCGATGTGTGTGAGTCACTGGAGAAAGTTACACCAGCGTGCTTGTGTGTGTGTTTTCAATGCAGCAGCGCCTCTGCAGCAGATTTCTGCTTCAGCTGGGACAGAGCACAACAAGACAGAGACAGAGAGAGAGAGGGGAGATCGAGGTTCAACACTGCTGAATTGGGGGTTTTGCACAAGGTAATGATAGCCTGATCTCATGCATATGTTTTTAATGATACTCTGTCACTGTTATACACACTGCTATCATCAGGATTATGGAGAGTTTGCTGTGGTTTTGCTTTGGCTTGTGGGCAGCAGATGTTTCAGCCTGGAGCTCTGACACACTTGTTTTGGGGTGTAGAGAAAGTTTTTCGGTCAGATTGGGATTTAAAGTCTTCTGTTTTGCTGTGTGTTTGTGTGCCATAATTGTTGTAACAAAATGCTTCATAAAGAGCTTACAGATGAAAGCTGAGTTTCGGTTCCTGCACCAAAATGGTTTTGAATGCTTTACTTTTAGCAATCTAAACATGTTTTTCTACAAGTCAAAATTCTCAAATGCTTAATTATGTCTTTACACAAGCAGTTTGCCAAGAACTTTGCAAAACAAAATAGATCATATTTTAATATATTGAATATATAATGGAAGGTATTCAATGCCAGGTTTTGGTTCAGTTTTCACCCAAAAAAGTATTGAGGTTTGATATCCAGCTCAAGTCGTACATCTTAGTTATCCTGAACTCTGGGTCACCATATGCTGCTAAACCCCTATGCTGCTAAACCCCTAAACCTTTTGTTGGAAGGAAAAGATGAATCTTTGTGGTAGGATTAGATCAAAATGACAGTCACAATATCCTATTTTGGTGGCCATCTGAAAAACACAATGCAGTCCAGTGTAACCATGCAGTATCACCTCTAAGTAGAACTCTATATAACCACAAACTACTGCCTTCAATACAGTTGAAAAAAAACACCTCTCTAAAACAAAAAGTGAAATCAGTAGTTTTAGCTAAACTAGCAGCTGAGTGTATAAAACCGTAAAATATCCATGCAACAGGTAAGATTTAAAATATGCAATGGTGCAACATGTTAATAGATAGTTATACACTATCAAACCATAGGGCTAGATATTGAACATCTAGTTAATTGGTACTGACTTCAGTATGCAGAGTGTGGTGTAGTAAAACAGGTTCATAATTCTCAAAGTAAGGTATCACAAAGGCATCTGTATTGAAATTCTGCTATCATACTGGTGCTAGTATTAAAAAAAAAAAAACGTGATGATATGATTCATGGAAGAAACTCTGAGTCCTGTTACTGATGTTGTCACAAGCAGCTCCTCACACAGACATTATAATTTAATCACTGAGGCAAAAATAAATCTGTCATTTGAGCCTGTCCTTTAAAACCAAAGAAGACAGTTCACCTTAACCATGTAATGGCTAATAGTCACAGCGGTGGCAGCATTATTCGCTCTGTAAGCAGCTTGCCAGCCTCCCGGTGGGCCAACACATGGTGTTCCACCTCAGAGGATCCATGACAATACATGTCCCCTCTCTGCATGTTTGTGGGAAGTTAAAACAAACAAAGGCATCTCATCTGCAGCTGTGCTGCTGTCAGCTGCTTTAAGAAGTTATAATAGCCGCCTTAATGAGTCCACTTCACTTCATTAGATCAAAAACAGTTACGTTATCGGCCTTGAAAGTTTTGAAAGTTTCTTGTGGAAGATATATCTAGCACCAAATGTTTCGAAATACTTTCTTGAACTCTTTCTTGACGTTTGAGGACGATAGCTCACCTCACACTACTACTTCATACTGAAAGGTTGTTTATATAAAACTGAATGTCTGCAACAAAATTAACATGTTTCATGCTCCTACAATCTGTATTGCTTCACCTACTCATGAAAACGTCTCAGGCACTGTTTGGACAACACAGCAGTGCTGATACAGACATACAGGAGGAGCGCTGATTGTTTTCTACTGCTTCTGTATTGATCTTTGAAGTTTAACACACATTCCCAATGTAAAATCCCAGTTCATAACGCATTTCACTAAACGGAAGAAGTTATGTATGTCTGTGTTTTCTAGTTAAAGTTTTGCCTTTGGGTTTTAACTGACCTGTTTGTTTATTTATTTATTTTGTTGCTTAGGTCACCACAATTAGGTGACTGAAATATGTCTGTGAAGGTTCTCAGTCATCCAGATCAGGGCAACTGGCCTTGATTTTAACCTTCTTTGGGTGACTGAAATACTGAAACTACTTAAAATACTTAATTTTTAATTTGATTTCTTGGTAATGCAGACTTTTCCTTGTCATCCAGTATTATTGTACACCCATCTTGTCCACACTGGAATGAGGAAATTGACACCATGCAACGGTTCTCCTTCATACTGAGAACATGCCAATAAAGCTAATTTGAATTGAATTGAACTGAAGTCAAACGGTCAATAATGGTGGAAAGTATATCTTGTTAAGATGGGCGTTTTGTAAACCAAGGGGTTCATCTTTTCCCCCTTACTCAACTTGATATACACTCTATATGCTTTTAAATGTCAATAAATTGTTTTTTATAATGTTGGAGAGATAAAGCACATGTTACTTATGAAGATATGTTACAAAAATAAAATATAAACATGAAAACACATTGTCTAAACAGTGTTTCTCTTTGCCAGTGATCACCAGCATGGAGGTGCCCAGGAGGCCTCAGCCCTCCTCTTTCACACTGGCTTTCCCTAAACCGGCCTCAACTGCCCTGTCTCCCCTCGGAGCTGTAGAGAAGCTCCAGGAGAAGAAGGATGGGATCGTAGAGAAAGATCAATTCGGAGAAGAGACGTTCAGTACAGAGGAGGAGTCAGATGTGTCTGTGACGTCAGAACTTGTAGATACAAATGCTTCCACTATGGAAAGAAATTTAAGGGTTTCCTCGCAGGATAGTTTCTCAGAGGAGAACTCAATATCAGAGGAGATGTTGGCGGAGGAGGCAAAAGAGGCCAAAAAGAGGTCTGAAGAGGAGGAAGCAGCAGCTAAAGAGAGGGCAGCCCAGAGACAGATGCTGGCCATAGAGGAACTGGTCCAGTCTGAGAGGAATTACCTGCGACTACTGCAAGTTAGCACTGTGACCATCAGGAGCAACCTAGAGAAACTACAGGTATGAATGAAGTGTTTGCTGCATTGAGTAGCATTGTTAAATTTATACTACTAATTAGAAGTGCAACTAACACTTCTTTTCAGTACAAGTCATATAAACTTGTGTGTTGAATTAAAAACTATAGGTATTTATTTACTACCAAAATCTCTTACTTAAAATTAGTACAAATGATTGACAGTGTGCAGGATTTTTTTGAATCTTTCATATTGCTGTTTTTAATCTTCATCTCACAACTTCCATCTGTTACTGTGGTGCTCTGCCCCTAATTTAGTTCATTCATTGTTTGTTATAGTATCAACTTACTAAACATACAACTACCACACTATTGGTTAATGGGGTAGCTATTTTTTAGGATATTAAGTAAAATGTTTTACGGTAGGATTGCATCATATCTAGAGGATGGAGATGCATACTTACCTTTGGCAACACATATCTGTAGTAAGTATCCAAATCCAGGTCCACTTACTTAACTATTCTACAGAGCTTCTGACTGAATTTCTCTTCCATTCACTAAAAAAGATTGTGGGATTCAGTCAGTTGCTCCAGAAGGAGCTAAGAAAGTTGATCCTGCGTGTAGAATATTTATCACACACAAAGGTTTGTGTCCATATAGTGTATTTTTTTCTGGCAGAAAAAAGTTTGGGAGCTCTGGGATGAAGCGCTTGTGCGGTGAGAGGGGAAAAAACGCTACGTTAACAGAGGGTTGACTACTAGTAGGGTGATAAAAGCAAAAACACTGGGCTTTTCTGTCTCTGTTATGATAGTTTCCCTCTGACAAAGAAGAGATAGATTTAGTTGTTCTTTACTGTTAAAAGATCTGTCATTAAATCTTGGCAGTCAATCAATAGCAGGTTTACTTCTGTGTTTGGATGTGTTGTAGGACAGCCCTTTTGATTGTGCCTTTAAGTAAAAAAGTAATCACTACATGCTGAATGGGCGCTGTATCATCCAGAGGAACTGTAATGTGGAGGCTGCTTGGTGGATTATAATCATTAACTTTTCATTACTTCTAAGGTATTGCTTAGTACTGCTAAATAATCATTTATTATCACAGCGGTAATGAATTGAGGCCTCGTAAAACATAATTGAATCAGGGTTTATGGGCTGGAAGGGCTGAGCTGTAGATGAGAAAAATGATAACACACCGAGGGATCGGTAGATGAAGGCAAAGAGAAGGAAATGAAAATAGAAATGAGTGGATGGGCTAAATTATGGGCTGATGATGGTGAATAGAGAAATGGTTGGTGAAATAGACATTAGGAAAGAGATTTGTCTGTGTAATATGGTCCATTAAATTTTTCCATCGTTTAAGTATATTAATTTCTATATTTTGTTACGTCTAAGCAAATACAAATCACATCATTTTTTCAATGTACTGTAAAAATTGAAAGAAAGATGGAGTTGAAAAGGGTATTAAAAATATGATGGAAGAAGAACGGAGAGAAACAGCAGATTGAAGGACGGCTGACAAAGAGAAACAGAATCAATACGTGAAAGAATGGTGCCATTGTGAGACAGGAAAGTTGCTGGTTTGTTTTCTGTGGCGATGTGCAGATTGTTCAGTCTCCTAGCAGCACCCACTGTTCCCTCATTAGAATAGAATGCAGCTAAACAAAGGCTCCTTCATCAGCTGTGCGTTAGCATTTGTCTTGTAAGGGAGCAGACACACATGCATATGTTGCAAAAGAAAGACATTTCATTTGAATATGTAAATAAATTTTACATGTAAACTCTACAAAGTTTTCAAAATAACCTCACTTTTGGAAGGATAGTATACTGATGCTAATAATTCCATGTTAGGTAGTACTTCCAGTTGTCTTTACCGCCAGAATCATTTTTGTTGGCTTTGGCATTTAACATAATATTTTTGTTTTCTGTTTTAATTATCTAATATCCAGTATGCATATCTGTACATACAGTAAATTAATTAGTAAGTTTTTCTTTCTTTCTGCCTGCAGCCACCTCTTGCCAATCTGGACAGCATGTTTCTATATATAGCAGATGTGATGGATGTGTCAAGTCAACTCCTCAGCCTGCTGGACCAGAAGCAGGTTCAGCCTGGAGAACCTCTCTTCTTGGAGACACTCTGTGAGATAAAACTTTCACTTTATTAATATTAATATAATATATTAATATTTATTTTAATCAGTATTAGCCCCAAATCTCCCATTTTATTTACTGGGGTTGTCATTGCAACCTGACAACATGAGCTTGTTCAGCCTTCCACCAGGAAGTGGTTAGATTCGTTGCTGATCTCACAGAGGAAACAAATAAAAGCTTCACACGTCTTGTTGTCAGAGAAATTTACTGTCTCAGCAAGATTTCTGGAATCCTCCAAGGTTTCTCCAATTTAATATTGGATCAAATAAATGAAGGGTACAGCTTTATTTTAAGCACCTGTGAGCATTTTAAAGTTGTTACTTGTTATCCTAGTGGTGTCTTTACAGACATGAATATATATATATATGAGTAAAAATATTTTTTGCGTTCCTGACAGGTAATTCGTTCCTCAGCCTGTCTTCAGACATTGAAGCAGCCTATAAGGAATACCTGGCCAACTACAACAACGTTACAGTGGTGGAGAACAGCTACAAACAGAAGGAAGCGCTCTGGAACGAGATTGTCAAAGTCATCAAGAGCTCAGCGTAGGTCTAATAATCTTCTGTTGTTTCACACTGCGACCAGTCGTACTCAATATTGCCTAAACCAAAAAAATAAGCAAATTTACAACTGGATAAAGATCAATAGACCAATAGACTGTGTAACGATTGTTGATTTTGGTCCTGAAGTTACGACCGTTCATTGTTGCTATTCATTATCTCTAGGCCTGAAGTGAATGCCACCTCTTTGAGTTTCTTCTTGGTGATGCCGGTGCAGCGGATTGCACGCTACCCCCTCCTCCTGCAGACCATCCAGAAACACACTGACAGATCCCACCCAGCATATGCACTTCTGGAGGAGACCGCTCACACGTCCATCGCCTTGAACTGTCGCATCAATGAGTACAAACGCTTCAGAGAAGTTGGTGAGGCGGGTTACCATCAAGTCCACTATTATCATATAAGCTGATTATTCCCTTTTATGGTATGGTCCTTTGTGATCCAATTAGTGCAGCAAGGCATTGACACAGCAAGAGGCAATGATTTAATTCCCTATGTAGAACAACAGGAAGACGATGGTACTGTGCTCTGGATTAACTGTCCCTCATACTGTGATTGTAGCGGACAAATACAAGAAGACAGAATTCCTGACCATAAAGGACAAGTTCAACCGCCTCAACACTCACAGCATCGTAAAGAAGACAACGAGGATCAGCCAGTACATCAAACATGAGACTGGAATGGCACCTAAGGTAGGATAAAACTTTAATGGCCCTAGTTTAAATAACACCCTTCCTGCTGAAGTGCAACACAGGATCCTTGCCATCTCCAAGATGTAGCTCTGTAACTGGCCCCGGACCCACCACTGGAGTTAGGTATTCGAATCGAGAACTAAACCCACATAAACCAAAGAAGCAACATGTTACAGGTACGATGCTTGTACCTCAAGGCAGCTCTTCCAGACCGCTGAGAAATTAGTAATCTTCCAGTAAACACTGCAATGCAGTAGGTAATAATTAATCAGAGAAGTGACTAACCTGCTGAGAAAACATGATATGACTGTTTATTGAACATGCTGTTGGCTCTGGCCTGGATTACATTTGTAGAATATAAAGGAATCAGACTTTGAAGCTCTGCAAAGCCCAGTTTTCTGTGTATTACCATAAATTAATGATGTACATTGGATGACTTTGTAGAAAAGCAGTAAATGTTGGAAAGAAAAAGTAAACAAGTTGTGTTGACAAAATGCACCAATATACCAGTATTGCATAACTGCACATGGGAATCCGTGTTTACAGGGATCTGGGGTTTGGTACGAGTGATTATAGTGAGTATTTGAAACCATAGGTTCCCAAACATATTGCATCATCCCACAGGTGCTGAGCCAGCAGCTAAAGAACATCTAACAGCCAACATTTTGCAACCAAAGCAAATAAGAGAATGTTTTCTACTATTATTTACAGTATATTTTAAGCATTTAAACTGAGAGTTTTTGAGTGGTTTATTTCTACAAAATATGCTTCCTTAAACATTAAAATCACAAGACAAGTCAGTGCAATGCTTTCGAGTGGTATTTGAATAAAAAGTAAAGGCTAAGGATGGAGAAATGAGAGCAATTACAGAGCTTAGAAAAGACTACATGTACATTGTCATCTTGTATTTGCAACCTACAGATCAAAGCTCCATGGCTGACATACAGGGAAATAAAGCATCTTTTTATCTAATTGTATAACAAATGTGTCTCCCTGTGTGTTGTGCTCTAGCTTGTGGATGAGGAGTTTGATGCCCTGCAAGGTTTCTTTGATGTCCTGGATCATGGGATCCTGGAGCTCCTTGAGAACATAGAGACATATCTGCACCACCTACAGGTACGCTGGATTTGTTGTACATTTTGCTCTTTAAAAAAATAAAGCCTGTCATTTAACATGTTGCTGTTGATATGTTAAAACTTGTTACTAGCATATTTATTAGTTATAGTTTTAAATTAAATCAAAAGATCAGCCAGTCTTTTTTTCTTTACCTTATCCGTCAGGAATATTTGAGCAAGGCGCGGAGTTCCTCAGTGTAGCTGTTCACTGGCAACTGTGTGCGTTTCCTTGTTTACATTCACCTTGCAGACTGTCTATCACAGTCTACAAACTGCTGCATCTATTTTAAGAACTGACATGTAGCAGCAGTATAATCTCAAAGAGATGGTTGTCATTTTCTAGCTTTTTGCCAAATATATTAATGAGTAAACATCAAATCTGATGTTTACTCATTAATATATTAGAAAATCATACTTTGGATGCCAGGAGAATTAATTTTACGTAACTTACGTAATACTTGTCAGCTCTTTTTCCCTTCATACTAATTATATTCCACATATTCACTGAGTACAACAAACAGCAAGTTTGAAGGTTAAGCACCTTGCTTAATAAGAGTGAGAGAGAGAGAGAATAAAGAGTGTGCATATCTAATCATTACCCAGATTTCAGATTGCACCAGCCTGTCCAAATACTTGAACTGTTGACATTCTGGTCACTAGTGACGAGTGGAGAAATGGAATAAGTGAAACATAACTGGATATTTATTCTTGAACATGTTTATGAGTCACACTGTGTAAACTCAGAGGTTCTGAAGTCCTTGAGGTGTCTGTGTCTGTGTTTGTGTTTGTGTACCTTTCCGCTCTAAAAGTATCACACTGACACTGTTTTTCCTCTATTCTGAGCCTACAATAATCAGCACTGTGTTCTCATCCTTTTTCACATTTTCTAACTAATGAGGCCAGTTTTTTTTTTTTTTTTTGCCAAGCCAGGAAACAAGCAAACACTTGTGAATTCAGTGATCCCACAATCTTTTATCAAAATGAGCCTAACGGACGTCAGAGACCTGAGCAGGGTTTGACAGCTCCTTCTGTTATGTTGGTCTGCAGGCGTTCCTGGCCTGCAAAACAGAGGAGTTTGACTTGGACATGGATGGAGAGAAGGCACCTATTTGCTACAAGGAGATCACTACCGCCCTCAGACAGTGGATTCTTCCAACATTTGTGAGTCTCCCTGACATTTGCATCCACACACCTGTAGTAGCAGGGGTTCCAGGAGTTTTCAAAATCAGATGCCATACTTTACACTGCAGGGCCTGGTATTATGAGGGGGGTCTGCGGGTTCACCCCCAGGAAAATGTTAGTTTTACACTTGACACTTCATTTCCTGCATTTTGGTGACTATTTATGCATGTAAATAACCATGAAACCCATGTAACAGCATACCAACTTGGAGCATAATTGTCTTTTAAAAGAACAAACACAAAATCCAGGTGCCAGACAAAAATGTTAATTAGTTGAAGGAACAAGTACAAGTCCCCTAAATCCCTATGCCTATGCTTTCAGTACAAAATTTTGCCAATGAAGTGCTCTGAAGTGAACAGGGGACATTACAAGGGCCAATCAGATTTCAGCTGGAGCCAATGACTGCGTGGCCCTGCCCTTAGTTCTACCCATGAGTTGTAGTCAAATTCTTTACTTAACTTAAAGCTAAAATGCATGACTTTTACATAAAAATGATATTCATGATGAGCGTCATCTGTTCTTCCATACAGGAGAAGAGGATGAGGACATTAATCCACAAGCCGCTGTGTGCACTCCGTGACCTCCTGGTGGGCCCAAGGAACCTGATCAGGAAAAGACTGGACAAGCTGCTCGACTATGAAGTGATTTGTGACAAATCCAGTCTGAGCTATGAGGAACAGGCAGTGGCCAACACGTACAGGTAGAGAGAGGGGATTGTTTTAATTTACAGGCTGGACAGATGGGTGAAAAGTGGACGGCATAATCTGAATGTCAATGTAAACAGAAAGTCAGTGCATCTGTCCATATAGAAGTCTTGACCAAGACACTGAACTTCACCTTGTGATCACCTGACTGTGGTCACTCCTTAGTGCTCTAAAGAAAAAGTTATTTTCACATTTTACATGGGGTGTAAGAGACATGACCAAATACTGAGCCAGTGGCTTGTAACAAGATGCAGTCTTTGTGCCAACTATACATATACTTATGAATATGTATACTTGTGAATTTAGTAGAACAAATTGCTTCTTTGTTAGAGGGAAGATGAAAAAAACAATACCACTGTATTATTTAAAATTGATTGTCCGATCAGTCTGAAATAATTGGCAGTTACCCAAAGCAGCTTATTGCTTTCTGACATTTCTAGTATTGTTGAGTCGTGTTACCTTCATTGTTATTATTGTTGTCACAATACCAGGCTTTTGTTACTTGGATACAGCTACTAAGAAGTTTGTGTTCTGTTGAGTTTTCAGATTTGTAAGCAATACTGTTTTACTTGGGACTTGTTACCAGGTTTATTTTACAGTTTATTTTCACCAGCAGTGTGGGAACCACTTAAATTATAATTAACTGTTTACTGAAATATTTTCAGCTGTTTGACTCATAACCACTCCACTAACAATGCCCAGTCTGTCTGAGTCAGTGTCAAGCCAGACAGTAGCTCTATTTTTACAACTTCCTCCTTTTGAAGTATGACTTAAAAAATTAAGTTTGAGTTTTCTTTTTTTGCAGTTTTGGTTATAGCTCACTTAGACTTACATGTAAATCCCTCCTTTTCTTACAGGACAATCAACACGTTGCTCCTCAATGAGCTTCCTCAGTTTAATGGTCTGGCTCTGCAGATGATCTGGAGCATGTTAGGGACGTTCAGCTGTCTGCATAAAGACCTCACCTCAGACATGGAGCAACTGTTCCAGAGCTTTGCACAACAGGTAATCTTGTATGTACGATGTGTTATCCACTCAAGCCTTTATATTGATGATAGGGTAAAGCAGAAAAACAGATCAACATTTGGGCAGCAGGTTGGGTGCTGAGCTTTCTTGAGAAAGTGAGGTGGAGAAATAAATTACTTACCTCTTATCTAATCAGTAATCCAAACAAGAAAAAAAATCACACCATGAGGTAGCGATGTACAGTACATAATGAGAATGTAAACATCTCGCTATCTTCTTCCAGCTTCCTCACAGCTCTCTTGACCCCAGTGCATTCTGGGGGTGGGCCGAGTCTGCAGTGTTGGAAGGTGCGAGGAGGCTGCAGACTTTGTGTCAAAGCGTAGAGGACACGCTCAAGGCGCCCTTTGTCCAGGTTGGTACAAAAGCAACTTAAATAGTTGTTGTGTCACAATGTGTTATGTTGGGTTGTTAACCAACAATACTGGAGGATCACTTGTGTCTATGTATCGATTACTTCATTAACCCTCTGAAACCCAGGCCTAGTTTTTAAGACAAAGATGGATAAAATGTTACCAGACAGATAAGCGATCACTGGACTGCAACTTAATACTATTAAAACAGCAGTTAACACAACAAACTGACATTGGATATTTCCATCACATTTCCTTGTTTCACAGACTACAGCAGGTGCACAAGAAATATGAGCCTGACACGTTCGGTACAAAACACTACATGTTCCACAATACAAAAATGCCACAGAAGGTGCATTGCAAACTGTCACAGGAGACATGTCCTGTATGAAAGTTACTTAATATAAGACACTTCTAACACATGACTTTACAACCTTTCATGTTTGAGTAATTTTAACAACTGCATACAAACTGCCTAACACTGGTAGCAACAAGAGTGACCATATAATTTATAATATACATTGAATCATATCAGTAAAATGACCAGAATGTGCGTGTATGAGTAGCAGGAATCCCTTTTCTGTTGTAAAATAGGTTTGCAGGTGATGTTTGTTAGTAGGGCTGTACCAAATGTTACTTTTTTACATTCAAAGCTTCTAATGGGGGTTTTGAGTGAAGCTTCGAATGTCTGTCATCATATCAAAATCCCTAATTTGAATAAAGTGATAGAGCTGATTAAATGAGACTGTCTTAGTCGGTCAGGCAGACACACACACCTGACAGAGTAGAGGAGAGAGACAGAGACAGAGATAGTGATGTACAGACACCTGGGTGCTTCATTTTTATAGTCCCAAGTCCCGACATCACACATTGCACACTGCATAAATAGACATTGGGGGTCTGAATATCAACATTATCATTAAGGCTTTGAACTATTCAGTACAGCCCTATTTATAAGTAGATTAATGTTGTGTAATGTTGTTAACCATTTTTTAGTATTGATTTGATTATTGACCTGTTTTCTTAACATATGTAATTTCAGCTTGACTACCTGTCAGATGTTTTAAATTGGGTCACTTGCCTTAAAACTGCCAGGAAACTTGCATAGAAAAACATTGCACAGTCATGTCATGTTTTGTCAGAGGTTATAATTACCGTATATCAGATTAACCTAGATTAGATTGGAACAGCTTCTGACAGGTTCTAATTTTGTAACTGTCCAACATGTTGTTCAAGCTGAAAGAATTTGCCAAGTCATAATCATATCTGTAGCCTTACATCATTCATGTGTAATTACTCATAGATGAGAAGAATGTGCTTCTTCTTGTTCTGCAACTTTCTTAAAAGACTTCACAATCTTCACATATATTTAGTTACTGGAAATGTTTTTGCTAAATCGTCAGCCTGCCGTGCAAAATCACAGTCCCACTTGAATCATTTTTTTTAAATTCGTGTCAAATGTGCATTATGCATCAGGATAACAAACATTTTCTTCATAATTTTAACAAAAATGTTTTGCTCATTCAAACCAGTATTTAAGGTAGAAATGTGAAGGCTTGGTGAAATTACTGTATTCTCATGAACAGCAGGATACTCTCTAATTTAAATGACTTAAATCTTCAGAATTAAGGCTTTCAGCTATAACTAAAACTTTTCTATTTTCTACTAAGAAAAGAATTTAAACTTAACTTGAAGAGATCAGATTCCAGTTTTTGGGTGTGACATCAGATTAACATGTAAGCACACACAGTCGTCGGTAAGAAATATAACCCCCACACGTTTGTCTAAATTTAAATGCGTCTGATTTTCAGCCTGGCATATTTTTAGGTAATCCAATGTGCACGATAAGGTTTGATTGACCTGTTCAACACATTTAAAATCACAGAGTTAATGATGACTTTATTACTGCTTTGTTAATATATTTTCTAATTTGCTCAGGCCTATCTTGTCCTTTTTACCTAATGTAATGAATATTGATTTCCTTACATTTCACTCTCATTTCTCTTCTGCCTCGTGCTTTTCTTCTATCAGCCTCTGAGTCCATCCTCTCAGCGCCGTCTGAAGCAGCTTACAGATAAGCACGGCTCTGGAAGAATCTACCAGGTGATCGGGACGGCGGTGGCCAGCCGGGACCTGGACCTGAACCTGGCCAAAGGGGAGCTGGTGGCCATTATCACTGAGGAAGATAGCCGCGGAGACAAACGAAGATGGCTGGTCGATGCAGGAGGTAAGATCCAACTACTGGGTAACTAATTAAAACCTTTCCTGTTTTTCTTATCCGTTTTGTGTTGATCTTCGTTGCTTATGTCAAGTTATTATTTGTTGCTGAGGCAGTCTTGGCTGTACTGTGATGTTTTCTTTTTGGAAGTTTAAGTTTATTTAACTGTAGATCTTTTCTTTATCTTTTTATTCATTTTAGCTTTTTCTGTCCATGCTGTTTTTTTTTTTTTTTTCAGAAGTGCTGGCATTACCTCTGACATTTGAATGCAACTGATAGTTATCTGTTATTCTTGTTTGGGGGGGAAATGTGTTTTCCGTGGTGGAGATTTAAAGATATGAATGAACAATGTTCTGTTATGAGACATAATGCTCTATTTTCTTGCCACTTTATATGTGACGGAGATTAATTAGGAACCATTTACTGTCTATATTTACAGATGTGGAGAGTAAGAACCACAGACCACAGTGAGGTTAAAATACATGATTCTCAGGAATGACACATGCTCCTATAAAAAATATTGCAATGCCAGTACAGCTTTTCTGATATGCTGTTCTTTGACGCCATCTTTTGGGTGTTTGTTGTTATTGCACTCTTAACACAAGTACACGTTTAGTAAAGGCACAGACTGTATGAGTAAAGGTTAGGAAACCTGGAACTTTGGCAGATAAATTGAAATTGATTCAAACACTTAGAATTTATTACATACAAGTTAGGATACATACTTTACTAATACGTTTTTGAAATGTAGTTTTAAATGTTAACAAGTGTGTTAATGACTAAATGATACAAAAGTAATAAAATTTAATGTGAAGAAATGATAAATAATTTAAGTTATAACTTTAAGCAAAAATTTACAATTTACTGACTTCTCAAAACGTTTTTGTGGTCCTCTATGATATACATATGGTAGTTAATTGGGGTTTTGGACTGTCGGTTGGACAAAACAAGCAATTTCAAAACGTCAGCTGGCCTCTGATGAAAATGGCATTTATTAACTGAGAAAATCTGCAGATTAATTGAGTAAGCAAGTTATCATTAGTTACCACCCTAATATATAATTACTTGATAACAGCTTTTACATGGACGGCACCTCCTTTATCTGTGTATGTTGTATGCAGGCAGAAGAGGGTACGTTCCTTCCTCGAAGCTGCTTCGCTATCACCAGGCAACAGAGGAGCCGCCCCCTTCGCCGCACGTGACCCTTCCTGAGGATCTGACAGCAATGAGAAGACACTCCTACACCCCAGAGGGCCGGCCACTGAGAGTCACGAGCCAGCTGTTCTTCCAGGTGATTGAGTGATTGATTTGATTGATTGCCTGTATTTACAAGACAGAAATTTCACAGTCACTACACAGAATCTACTGTGCCGAGGTGTCTGATTAGATGCTGAAGCAACCAGCTACATACATTTGCATATGAAGGAGGCAGAAATTGATTCTCTTAAAACTCTCCTAATTCAAAGCTCCTCAGCGCTTTAAGATGCATCGTTCATATGAGCACCACCCAAATTTTATGTATAATAAATTGTATGACGTTAATATTTTCTTAACTAATGCATCAATCTTAGGGCCTTGTCAGGGTTTATTATATTTCAAGGCAGCTCAAGTGCTCCTTGTACAGAAATAGACAATAGGCCACAATTAGACTAGCTGTCAAATCGACCTCAGTTTGCTGCTACTGGTTTAAATTATCTGACTCCAAAGTGTGAGTGTGTGTGCGTTAATCTCCTTAATTAAACTTTACAATCTCTGTGTGCGTCTGAAGCTTTAACTGATCGATGTGACAGCGTCCTGCTGCAGAAGCATCAATCTGTCACATGTCTGACTGTGTGTGTGTGTGTGTGAGCCAGAGATCGATCCAGTGTAATGTGCAAAATGCAGTGTAATCGTGTGTGTGAGGGAAAGATAGTGTGCATGTGTGTAGTTCTGTGGATTTGTGCATGTTATTAATGGAAAGGTCCATAATTAGCTGTTTAACCTTGTAAGTGGGTTACGGTGTGGAGGGAGATGAGAGTTAATTTATGCAATGCTGCACTGCAGGCTGAGACAGCGTGTTCATGTGTGTGTGTGTGTGTGTGTATGTTGTGAGATTGATTTACATTTGCAACACATGTGAGTATAAAAGGGGAGTGTTATGGCTTGTAAATTTGCATGGGTTTATGTGAGTATGTAAATGGGAGAGAGGGAGATTTAGGTTAGTGGATTGGAAAGCAGGAATGCAACGTGTGAGTGTGTGTGTGTGTGTGTGTGTGTCAGAAATGCCTCCACACAGTGCCTGTTAAATTGAGTGATGGCTCCAATGACCTTTATAGAGGTGGCTTTTCATACCCCTTCCTCCCCACGTCGATCCTCAATGACCCTGAGTCTGCTCATATACAAATCGCACATAAAACCAAATTCATCTTTTTCACTCCTTTCTGTTTTCATCCACGCAAAGCTGCTGTTTTCCAATGAAGAATATTGCAGTTTTATATTGTAGACTTAAATGTGTAGCAGTAACATTAAGATGGCAAAATTGTCATGAGTGCACCTTTCTCTGTGATCTGAATTCCAGACAAAGTATTGTGCAGCACACCTCTCCTCTCCCTTCCAAACACTAGCTACCCACCAGGCAGTCAATGAAGTCATGAAGTTGTTACTGTGATGTGGAGACAGAGCTCAGTTAAAGAGGTGGTATTCTGCTCATTTTCAGGTTCAAAATCATATTTAGGGGTTGTACCAGGACAGGTTTACATGGTTTAATTTTCTAAAAACACCATATTTTTGTCATCTTGTCTCTAAATGATCTTTGTTGGGAGTTGCACATGCGCAGTTCCTAGTTAAGGACTTCTAGTCAATCAGAAGCAGAGAAGGGCGGGCCAGTGAGAAGACAGTAAATAGCTTCGATTCAGCTGTAGGCTACATGTTGCCGACCAGGGGTGCAGTTCCCGTACAACCACGGAAAGTAGCATTGAACTATGTTGGTACGATGCATCGTTAAAATAACAAACATCTGAAGTACGACCGTTTCCCAAAACTGTTGTACCTTGTTGGTACCACCGTGGTTTGAACTGCTAACTTATAATTTAGGCTTTTCATATTATAGTCGTACCGGCAATAACAAGAAAATCAACACTAGTGTTAATGAAATCAACAATATAAATAATATATAACCTAATCATTTTATTTAGTCTAAATAGAGGCTATAATTTAGAAGAAAAAATTAAGAACTATTAGCGATTACAAGACATTTAGTAAAATAGGTTTAATCTGCAAGTAGCTTCGTGTCAACATTTTAACACTATTATGAATCCCTTGGCTGCAACTGATATCTAGGTCTTGAGAATATCTCAGTGTGATAAGTGGCTGAGCTTGAGGATGTTCTCTATTTTGACACGGGTTCGACTTCTGTGAGTTCTCTGTTTATCTTTGTTATAATGGCAACGAAAGCTCTCAGGGATTTATTCATTACAGTACTTTCATGAATTTTATGCTGTCCCTTTTTTATATTTATGTTTGTAATTAAGACTAGAGAACACCCATTTTCCGTGTCTGGTCTTTACAATCTCCATTTTGTCCTTTAACCTTTGTACTGGGTGACTAATATTAAATTAAGGTATTGCGAACAGATGGGTAATCTGTGAGAAAAACACCTGTTGTTCGCAGATGGTCTACAGATAGAAAGTACTTATACAACTACATTTAAAAGAATCTCCAACTTAAATATGTTTGTACAGCAGGATTATCTAACATTCCCTCTTTAAAACACATTACATCCACCTCCTAACACTGCATTTTCTGCTATCTGTGACGTAGTCACCGTGAACTAAGCTTCTAACAGGTCTAACAGGTCTAACAGGTCAGGAGCTGTAGTTCGAACTATGCAACTTGACGACAGTGCGTCAGAGCTAGGGTTTTGGGGAACTCCTGCGTCACTTAACGATGGTTCATACCCTGTAAGTTACCAATTTAATTACCTCCATACCACCTTGGGTTTTGGGAAACAGTTGCGTCATAGTTCCAACCAAGGAAGTTGCTTCCGTAGTTAGCAACAATGCTTTTGGGGAAACGCACCCCAGTTTGGCAACAGGGACTGGAGCAAGAGTTTCAGAGCTGTGAGTTATTAATCTGTAACAAAAGTATTTTTCATCCATAAAGTTTTAACTGAGCTCTGTCTCTACATCACAGTAACAACTTTATGTCCACTGACTGGAGGGTAGCTAGTGTTTGGAAGGGAGAGGAGAGCTGTGCGCTGCAGCCCAGTGTTTTTCCATTGGTGTTTTTGAGGGTGTGTCGGAGTAGCCGCTTGGCGAGCATTATATGAGGCGCATTTCCCATCTCAGGGAAGCAGCTGGACTATAAACAAGCTGTTTTCAGGCAGTTCAGAGAGTTTTCTGTGAGAGATGGGAACTCCCTTTGGGCTTTTTCACTTTACAAACCTATTGCGTGCGCAAAAAATGTATATAACTCAATAAAGGAGAGGGAAAACGCCAAAAAGCATAATACCACCTCTTTAAAACTTTATGGATGAAAGATATATTTGTTAGAAATTAGTAACTCACCACTCTGAAGCTCTTGCTCCAGTCCATGTTGCTAAGCTGGTAAGGGGATATACAGCTGAACCAAAGCTGCCCTACAGTAATCCTTAACTAGGAACTGCGCATGTGCAACTCCCGACAAGGATCTTGTAGAGGTGAGATGCATCACTCCATAGCTAAAAATTAAGCCATCAACACACAGGGTGAAAAGAGGAGCTACAGCAATGTGCAGTATGACAAAAATACAGTGTTTTTTTTTTTTTTTTAATAAAACCATGTAAACCTGTTCTGGTACAACCCCTAAATAAGATTTTGAACCTGGTGATTAGCATACAACAAATGGAAGGTTCTTGTTATAAAAAGAACATGCAAACTTATGTTATAGCAACAGTTTCTTGTTTTAATTTGATAATTAATTGTATATATTCTTGTCATGACATGTTAACAAGAAAATGTTTATTGTTTTAACAGACACGTTTTCTCAAAAGCGTTATTGTCACAGAGCTGCCTTAGCTTTAAGCATTTGTTATAAATGATCACGTTTTGATCTCTCAACATGTCTGTCCTGAAAACAATAATATTATTAATAAATTCCAGTCTAGATTCTGTAGAAATGCAGGCAGTCTCAGCTAACTCTCCGTCTCTCTCATTTGTGGCCCCACCATGTCGTCGGCTCTTTCATTCCCATCAGAAAGATGGTTGCAGCAAATATCCTCCCAGCTCTTACAGCATGAATCACTCTGCAGCCCAGAGCAACGGCCACTTCACTATTTTTTATTTTTTCTTCTCGGTCTCTGCCTGGCAAAATGCTAATTAAATGGTAATTGGTATAGACCGTCGGGGTAGAGCTAATGTCGTAGCTGAGAGGTGAGCTGAGGTGAAGGGTTTGTTAATGACACCGAGCAGCCGGCTAAACTCAGCTATTAGCACTGAGGGGCTCCCTGTCATACCAACACAGGCCTCATTAGGAAGCCTTCATTCTGTCGGCGCTCGTGTGTGCGTGTGTGCGGTGATGAGATGGGATTTGTTAAGACATAACTAGTGGGTTTAACCTTTTCAGAGAATATTACAATGATTTGTGGATGTGTTAGCGTGTGTCTGTGTGTGTGTTTGTGTGTTCACGTCAGTACCTTTTTTTTTTTAAGCCTTTATTCAGAGAAGTTTCACTGAGAAGAGGCCTTTCTTTTGTAAACCTGCTGTTTGTACCTGTGTGCATGCATTATCTCGTGCATGCTCACTTCATCATCAACATTTATCAATATCAGTGTGTAAATAACACCCTTATTAATAGATGCCCTTTTTTCCCCACTCCTTTATAATATGGGGTGTACCAGAGTCCGATTTTATACTTATATTTACCTAAATGAAAGATGTGACACATTGAAATAACAGCTGTAGGCTACTTTATCTGACACATCATATTTTCTACAAATTGCTCCTCCTTCAAAAGCATTACATTATAAATGTAATTAAGCTTATACATGTAATACTTTTGAAGGTATGATAAATGAAAGATGAAGTGAAGAATGTGACTCCTGAAACTGAAGTAATGCGATCAGCTAGAGTGAAGTCACTCTGGTTGTACAGTGGCGTTACCGAGTGGACTGAGTACGGACACCAGCTGCAGGGAGCACTTGAACCCTACAACAGAGACGTTTCATTTGGCCTGTTATCAAGGTACTCAGGGAATTGACATTAATTAGCGATTAGCTGATTATCATTAGCAAACAGCAAAGTATGTATGTATGTAATATGTATTGTATAAATTCTGAGTCAATCGCCGGCGTGCCCAAATCATATTTCATCTCCACAGACTGTAATTTTTACTTATACAGTTCAATGCTCACATTGGAGATCCAGCTGTGGTAAAGGAGAGCCGCAATGCAACATTAGCAGGCTGAAGTGGGCAAACACAGAACAGTAATCACCAAATGACAAATTGAGAGTTAAGAGACTTAAAATGGCAAATTTACAGAGGATAAACCCTTTTTGAGTTATGTGACATGACGTTGTCTCTGATGCCTCTCTCAAGTAAGGATATCAGAATAACCAACAAGAAGAGCTTGATTTTCCTCTAAACTCATCATTTTTTTCTCTGCTAAGGAATGCGTTACAGCCTCACATTGTACTTATATATATGGCTGACTTCTACTCTTGTTTTTGACTCAGCATCCTCTCTTCCAGGTGTTTGCGGCCTATGACTTCAAAGCCAGAGGAAACCATGAAGTGTCTGTTCGGTCAGGCGAGCCAGTTCGTGTCCTTGAGCCCCACGACAAACGAGGGAACCCTGAGTGGAGTCTAGTGGAGGCGAGAGGTGGGCAGAGAGGCTACGTGCCCTCCAACTATCTCACAATCATGCCTATGGGGACTGGGCCACCTGGCAAATACTAGCCCCGCTGCTAAGAGCGAAGGACGGAAGAAGACATACAGCAGTGTGAACATATACAGTATGACAAGGATTTCACCAATACTGTCTTTAGAAGGATTACAGCAGTATTGTTGTAATGAAGCTGCCTCTGCTTCTCAAGTAGCATGTATCTACACAGTGACCATCAGTTATTTTGTTTTTAAACCAACATTAGAGACATTAAATACAATATTTTGATGGGCCACAGTGTTAATTTAACACTGTAATTTTTTTCTATATACATTTCCTGTGCAAACCAGTATGGTGAGATTTTTAAAATTGCTAGAAAAAGAAAGTAAATGTCATGTAATTTTATTTATATAGTCCAAAATCACAGATTTGCCTCAAAGGGCTTTACAATCTTTACAGCAAAGAACACCCTCTGTTCTTAGATGCTGATTGGTAAGGAAAGAAAGAGAAAGTCTTCCCATCGTAACCTTTCACAAGTGAAGGCTTATTGGCCTTTTCTAGGGTAATTTCAGCACTAATTCTAAAAAAAAAAAATAGCTTGCTGGTGCAACAGTATGAAAATGTCAGAAAGCCAGAAAAAGTGTAAAGCTAATGGTTTAAGAGGCTAAAAGATGTGCAAGAGGATATTTATACATTTGGTCGGTAAACCTGTAGAGGTGGTTACATGAGGCATTTTTATTCTGATTGGCTATTATTCCGATTATTAGTGGAATACTGGGCTCCATGGAAAAGCAGTTAGATCTTCTTCACTGTGGACATGGCTAGACATAATCCTTGACCTTATTAATGTTAATATTTGTGACACACAGGAAAAAATGAAGGACTCTGTAGCTGGCAGTTATATGCTGTGTTGCTAATGAGCAGCACAGATTCTTGCTGAGATGGAAGTTTAACTCTGCATTTAACTGCATTTTACCGCTGAAGGACAATCTTCAGGTTGCACTGCAATTTTTTTTATGATCGTTGTTTAAAAAGCACCAGAGACTATGGGTGAATAGTTTTGAAGGTGAATGGGGGCTATCTCAGCTGTCTGAGGTGAGGGAAGTTGACTTATATCCCATGATCCTCAGCAGGACATAAGGACACTTGAATTGAAAATGATGAAAAGATTGCATGTTCTCATTAGTGTGCCCGTGTATTACCGAACTAACTGCAAAAAGTGTGTGTGCGTCTGTATGGATGATAAGAAGTTGGGCTGGTGTGTGTGTGTGTGTGTGTGTGTTAAGACTCCTCCTCACCTGGAGGCAGGAGCAATGCTATATCGAGACTGACAGGTACACAGCGCTCTCATCATCTCAGACTGTGTAATGTGATGTAAATGCAAAATGTCTCCAGGGCCGAGTAGCAGAGAAAGATGGAGAGGGGAGAGGTGGAGGCAGAGATGTAAAGACAGAGGAAGGTATTCATACGATAAACTGAAACAGTTGGAGGGAAATGGAGGGTAACAATAAGAGACTAAATTGCTCCTTAGATATAAAATAGTGTAGACTGGACTGGCATTTAATTGTTTGTGTCTGTTTAGTGAACGTTTGCCGCTTCAGTATCTTCTTGTTACAAAGAGGAACCACCCTTCACTGAAAAAAAAAAGGACCATGGTCTAAGTACTTCCACTTCTGTATCTATAAGTCGTTTTATTTTTACACATTTTATTTCTGTTTTAAAGTCAGTGTATTTTAAAATATGCATTTTTGGTTGTACATCATTCCTATCTCTTTAAGTTAACATATTTATCCTGCAAACCTACTTTTTAGATTTGGAGTCAAGTCTTCATCTCCAGCAGTTTGTTATGTTTAACAATATATTTAAAGCTAAAAAATATTATGAATGGTTAAAGGATCCTGATGTCCACCAGAATATTGAGCTATCCGTTATGTGACAAAATAATTTCATGTCTCAACATGTCAGCATTAATGGAAAAGACCAAATCATCAAAACTTTACCAACTAAGAATGCGGAGACACCATGTTAGAAAAGAGAAAAAAGATGAAAATGATCTCCGTCGTTTAACTTTGTTTTTGTGATTAAGCCCCACCCCTTTCATTTTATACTCCAATCACTGCTGAACAAGAATTCAGACAACTTCCGAGGAGTAGAACAAACTAAATGTCAGACTTGTAAATAGCATTCATGTCAACATCCAACTCATTATTATGTTGGGGACACTTTTTCTGAAACCTCAGTTATAGCCAACTTGATATTTAACAAAATAGAAGTGCCTGAAAACCAAACAAACATGGACGCTTCAACATCAGCTATAGTCTGCCTTTCATATTATTTAACCCTAATTCAATGGATATGGTGGTATAATGTCACACGTCCAACTCTGTAATCATACAACCGTTTTGATGATATGAATATTTCAAGTCATGAACAAGGGAATTTTGCCCATAAATTCCATCCATCACATGTTATGTGAACACAGCACAGTGTCTCCCATGATTAGCAAGATATTGAGGATATTTTTGAAAGGAAAAGCGACATTTAAATCTTTATGATAATTTTTCCAGCACGGTGGCATCTGTTGACTGAATATGACTCCTGAACGTGTTACACGAGCATGTTTTGCATAAAATTGACCCCTTTCCCTCTGGATTGTGCTGTATCAGCTGCTGTGCGAGTGAAACAGAGGGAGGGAGGCTGGGATTCAGCTGCTCAGCTGGAGCTTAGCTTTTCCCATCCGTCTGAATGTCAGGACGGAGCAGAGCAGCAGGAGAGACAGAGTGTGTGTGTGAGATGTTACCAAAATACCAAATGTCCTCAAGGTTAGCAAGATGAAGGAAAATAAAGAAAATCCCACAACCTGACAACATTTTACCTGCTTTCACCTCTTCAAAGCCAGTTTAGGGAGAAACAGAAAAATGTTGTTAAAAACAGGTGATGGCATTAAACCATGCTTTTTGGAATCTATTCTGCTATTAAGTATTTATTTTTAATAACCATTAATGGCAAAGTAATAGTGTGAAGCTGCTGTCGGTGATGCTCTCTGCAATTTTGAATCAATTTTGTATTTCTTAATAGTTAAATATTTTCTTATTCCTTATGGAAACCTGGCCAAAAATGTAGATAATGTAAAAACTAAACTTAGTTACATTACCAATTATTTCACCCTGGGAAAGATTGAGAGCCATTTGCTTGTGATATATGATATTAAGTAGCAGCGGGTTTATATAAAATCTTCCTTTGTGATCAGAAACTGGATAATGTATGGATAATGTATGGACCACACATGTCAGGTTTGGTGACGTCCTTACAGATGTGTGTGTGTGTGTGTGTGTGTGTGTGCGTGCGCCTAAAGAGGCTTTAATTTTTCACCTCTCCACCACTAGAGGGAGTAGGAGACTTTGGTTGATGTGAAAGCCTGTGTATTTTTCACCCTGAACTGAAATGTGTGTGTGTGTGTGTGTTTGTTAGACCTCTTTAACTTTGTCAGTATTAGTTGTTGCCTGTGAACAGACCCTGAGCATAATCCTCTACGTTCTGTTATATTGTTCAGTTTACCTCAATTTTTTTTATGGGCCCACTGTCAAACCAACATTTGATGTGTAACATGTTTAACCTGTTGATGATCTTGTTTTGTACAGCATTTTCTGTTTATAATTTATTGTTTTGTATCTGTGTTTACTCATACTGTTGTTTTAACTTATTTGACGCAACAGGGCACACACAGTATTCACAGAGCAGATGCAGAGTTTCTGCAGTGCAGCAGTAGAATCTGTCAGCGCAGCTGTGAACTGACTGAGTGGCTTCAATAAAACTAAACAGAAACCTGTTCAGTGTCCTCATCATCTAATCAGATCAGAAGTTTCCAGTTTTTTTTAATGTGATTTCTCATTTGTTTGGGATGGCACTGCACCTTCAGAGGCTGTAACTAGTGGTTACTTTCACTATTGTTGAATCTATGTGTTTCATCTTCAGTATTTTCCTGTACAAGGTTAAGATAATGACACACCTTGATGGAAGAGAATGTTTGTTGTGATCCAGTTGAGGGAAGTTTATATCCTCTGCCAAAAATTAGGTTAACGCTATGATGGCACTGTTCGTAGTGTCAATGTCAGAAAATATTGAAGTCCAATGTTCATCCATGAGCTATACCCGCTTATCCATTGAAGGGTCGCAGGTGGCTGGAGCGGATCCCAGGTGACATTGGCCCAGAGGCGGGACAGGCCCTGGATAGGTCGGCAGTCAATCATAGGGCTGACACATAAAGTCGGACAACAATTCACAGCCATATTCAAACCTACAGACAGTTTAGAGTCACCAGTTAACCAAAGAGTCCAATGTGTTGTCTTAAAATGACTTAGTTTGCCCAAAACTCACAGACTCAAAAAGCAATATAAAACTTAGTAGCACACTCTTAAAGGGAGTGCTCCTAATCACGTTTGTTACCTCCTATAAAAGACACCTGTCCACAGACGCAATCAATCAATCAGATTCCAAATTCTCTACCATGGCCAAGACCACAGAGTTCTCCAAGGATGTCAGGGACCTACACAAGGCCGGAATGGGCTACAAGACCATCGCCAAGCAGCTTGGTGAGAAGGTGACAACAGTTGGTGCGGTTATTCGCAAATGGAAGAAACAACAGTCAATCTCCCTCGGCTCCAAGCAACATCTCACCTCGTTGAGTTGCAATGATCATGTGAACAGTGAGGTATCAGCCCAGAACTACACAGGAGGATCTTTTCAATGATCTCAAGGCAGCTGGGACCATAGCCACCAAGAAAACAATCGGTAACACACGACGCCGTGAAGGACTGAAATCCAGTGAACATCTGAATGATTCAGAGGAGAACTGGGTGAAAGTGTAGAAAAATGTAATTCTTTGGCATCAACTCACCGTGTTGGAGAAGGAGAAATGCTGCCATGACCCCAAAAACACCGTCCCCACTGTCAAACATGGAAGTGGAAACATTATGCCTTGGTGGTGTTTTTCTGCTAAGGGGACAGGACAACTTCACCGCATCAAAGGGACGATGGACGGAGCCATGTACCGTCAAATCTTGGATGAGGACCTCCTTCCCTCAGCCAGGGCATTGAAAATGGGTTGTGGATGGGTATTCCAGCATGACAATGACCCAAAACACACGGCCAAGGCAACAAAAGAATGGCTCAAGAAGAAGCACATTAAGGTCCTGGAGTGGCCTAGCCAGCCATTTTTCAGATTTTTGTTGTTATTCTGTCTCTCACTGTTCAAATAAGCCTGCCATTAAAATTATAGACTGATCATTTCTTTGTCAGTGGGCAAACGTACAAAATCAGCAGGGGATCAAATAGTTTTTTTCTCTCAGTGTAGGTTCCCAGTATTTCAATCTGTCTTTAAAACAATACTCAGGTGTCCGTATGAACATTGAGATTCCTGTGTGTACTGGATCCAAAGTCCTTGTTCTGTGCAAAATGTGTATCAGAAATTGACATGAGTTATTCAGGTCAAATAGACTGTTAGTCTTTTTAGTCAATCATCAATTACTTATAAAACTTGAAATCCATCTAGGTATTTTCCCATCAGATCGTATGGTTGGCCACTAGTTTGAATCCCAGACTAGCTGTGAAGATTTTGCGCTCCTTGATTCCTCAACAACCACCACTGTGGCACCCTTGAGCTGGGCGCAGAACCCCGCAGACTTTGTGTCAGCTGATCAGTTTACTCTTTGTAGAAACTAGCTCTGGCAGATTCTTACAGACTGAACATGTTTGTAGAGTAAACACAGCTCCTCACAGGTTTCGGACCCTGCAGTGTGAACAGGCCTGCTGCCCAAATTGGTTGGATTCTTTACACAGCAGCTGTCACTACATCATCTGCAGCTAATCTAAAATGTTGTGTTTACTTCAGCATCGCCTCTCTTCCTTTGTACTGGCTTTGTTCACATCCTGTCCTCAGCTATTCATCTGATTGATTCAGCAGTCCACCATTACAGTTGTTTCTTATTTTTTCACCACAGTGTATAATAAAACAATTCTTCTTCCCATTTTGTCTGAGCTACCTTAGTCATTTTGTTTTCCCAGAGCAGCAGGTGAACCGTTCACAGGTAATTCTTTCTTCTTTATACATCTACAGTGCAGTGGAGTGTAAAATAAATGCACTATAGAAAGCTGCAGTGAGTACACACACACACACACACACACACACACGCACACACACATATTTATCTGCTGTGCTGTGTTAAACTTTGTTTCTCTTTTGGTTGAGTTCAGCTTTGCTTTCAATGTAACATTCACCTGCTGTGTGAATGTAAAGTAGTTCAGCTGAAAATTTCCCAGATAAATAAAAATGGGAAAAATGTTGTGACAGTGTTTTTATATTCCCCATAAACACTTTGTTTGTTTTTTTTTCTCTGCCTGTCAAATGCTTTTAGCAAGGTGTGCGTTAGCTGTTTTGTTCTCAGCCATCAGAATCCAGCCACACGTGTCCTAATGGCTCATTTGTCGGTCATTAGCATGCTTTTTGTGAACACTTAGGCTCATTTTATTGTTAAAAAGAGTAAATAAATGCTAAATGGAGAAAGTGAGACAAAGAACTCCCAGTATTGATTCATACTGAAAGAGAGAAAAAACACAAGGTGACGGAATATTAATGACATGAAAACAGGGAACAGAAACTGAACCAGCAGTGGCAGGAAGAGGTTTTGACTGACATTTACACTGACTAGGCTCCAGCTCCATACTTAACACACATACATGAGAATGAAATCAATCTTCTCATCTAACTCTTAGCAAGAAAGTGACTGAGCCTATTACCCCCAAAACACATTGTGTATATCCTAGAGTCCCAACAAACATGTTGCACACGCTTCCCTCATAAACATTTGCAGAGCTAGTTTTGAAACCTGCATTGTTAACTTGTGACGTGTTTACATTACAATTCTTCCTCCCTGTCTTTTGCTGTTACATTTGCAGCATTTCTTGACACATTACATACGTTACTGCTATCAACTGTCAAACGTGCAAGTGCAACATTCTGCAGAGCAAGGCAATTATTTTCCGTAGAGGGAGCGACCTTACTCTCTTGGGCAACTGTGCGAGGTATAAGAACTTACTCAAGGGTACCTCAGCAGTGCCCAGAAGGTAATCTGGCACCTCTCCAGCTGCCAGTTCACACTTCAGACTATGATCTGTGCTGACAGACAGAATTGCCAGATAAGAAAATGATCATTTTGATTGTTTACATTCCAACGTGGTCTGTAGCTGCCCTGAAGATATTTTTAGTGATTGTTAAAACTTTACCTACTGTGCTTTATTCAATGCTCTACCTTGTTGTGAAACTGCCCTGTTCAGTCGATAGGAATCACCCTTGTGCTTGTTTGTGTCAATGCAGGTCCTAATACACAGCTTGTCGATGTACACACAAAGCATTGCTCATAGAACCAGTAGTAGTCAAAAACTCCACAGCGTCACAGTACCATTTAATTTGGGGGGCGGCATTTCATACATTTATTATAGAGTTAGAAGATTTGACACGACAAAAATAGGCCACACAACGAGGGCCATTGTGAGTACACGATCAGCACCTTAAACCCAGAGGGAACCAGGGCGCCATAGAGTACGTTTCTAAACAACCAGATTGGTTAGGTATATATCCAACAGAAAACAACAACTTCGCCATCACTCAGAGGGTCTTGTCCATCTTCAGAAGTTTGTGTCTTGGAAACACAAGGCCAATGTTGCATTTTCTGCTGCTGCTGCTGCTGCTGCTGCCAGAGATTTTTCTTTTATCTGCCAATCTGACTCTCTCTTTCATCTTCTGAACATGACTTAGTAACCAACTTCTCAAAAGCTTCTCTTTTACAGTAACCGTAGTCTGAAAATAGGTGAATATGGCAGCTGCGCTTTCACATCTCATAAAACATTTTAATTTTTCATCTAGTATAACATTGAAATAACTCCAATAAATATATTCATATTTAGTACTACTCATCTTTTGGTCTAACAAA